AAGTTATTCTTGTTTAAAATTTTAAAAAAACTTGCTAAAAAAAATTTGCTTGGTTTCTATTGACTCAACCCCATATATCAAAAGATGCAATACGAATTGTTGGATTTTTTTATAGCTCTACATATTTTATAGACATTTTGCGAGAAGAACAAATAAGAATTTATAAAAAAAAATTTTACTAGTATTTCCTGGAGATACTTGCTAGTACTCTTATTACTTTTGTTTTTATTTAATTATAAAAACTCATGCTGCTTTAAAATTTCTTTTGCTTAGGTATAATGAATATAGATTAAGTATATTAAGAATTAATAGTGTGTTCAGTTGGTTATCATGTGTCAATATTCTTAGAACATCTAATTAATTAATGCAATAATCCTATTAAAAAATTTGAAATATTCTAGTATTGATTTTCTCAGTAACTACTTGATTAATTTCAATAAAAAATTTTTCTATTTTGATTCTATAGTATTGTATAATTAAAATAAAAAAAAGTGTATTAAATTTAGTCTGGTAGCTATTGAGAAATTATTGTCAAAAGTTTTAAAAAATCTTAATAGAATTGAATTTGAATAGATATTAAAGTTATAAAACAATTGACTGCAGCTTATATTTTAATGACATCACTTGACACTTACTTTTTTATTTTTTATTTTTTTTATTGTGAGATCTTGTCTCATGTTATTTATTAGATATATATATATATAACATATATTTTACTACAATTAATAGAATAGTGGCTTAGGCAGTGTCATTTATCACCTGATTTTTTTTTATCAGAGCTTACCTCTCCTAGTTTTTAATATATAAATTATCAGGTTTTATATATAAAATTCCAATTTTTTTGATCCCTCTCTAGAAAATCACCTGATAATTGTCAGCTCCCTTAGACTAATTATCTATGATCTATACCTACCAGAGCCATCCATGTTCCACTTATGTATTACCTGGATTTTGTATACTACTAACTAAATATTCTATTTTAACCTAATATATTTTTTCACATTTCTTATATTAACAACCTTATACTTCCAATATGATTCCAGTATAGTATCTATTACAGATCTTACTAAGGGGCACCAGACAAGTATAACCTTATAGCTACTTTCAAATTTGTGTAGTACATGTTGTCTGCCATTACTGAGTTCATATCTCAAGCCATTATTTGTAATGCTGCTGTAGCCCAGTTTGTATCTTAAGCACAACCTTCCTTATTACATATAGTGTTGATGATATATATGCAGGACTTAATAACAGTTTCTTTTCTAATTGGTAGGTCTTACAAGTTATAGCCATTGAAACTTCCAACTGAGTTTTTTGAAGTATATATTGTATTACTTCTAGTATTATATATTGGTATTTTAAAGTTGGTGTTTTTGTGTTCTGTTTCATATTTGTTTCTTTTTCCAGGTCTCATTCTAGGATTTTTACCCCTAGTCATACTACTGAAGTAGCCAAAGAATATACAACTAAAATGGCTCTAGTGATCAGGTAACCAGGCAAGTACTTCCAGTTAGGTATGACCTTGCTATGTCTTGTTTGTTTTAAGTATATTCCAAGTTGCCTGCTAACTTTACTCTATATAAGGAAATTCTATTTAATCTAGTAGTAGTATGGGTGCTAGAGATGTTCCAAATCTGGTAAGGCCAATTCTTTATCACAGGTTCCTTTGTGTTCACCACATTTTTTACCACTTCCAATTCTAGTTACTGTCCAGTTGTTTTCCTAAACAAAATCTTCAATACTATCTTGGGGTTGTTAGTGCTATCTTGCCAATCACAAATTTACATGCACAATCTTTGTGTAATAGAACCTTCTATAATAGTCTCTATTACATGTAGTGCCAACTACTCTACAATGAATCTCTTTTCAGAAATTCCTAATTCAGACCTATATTCATTGGACTTCCTATAGCAGATACTTCCAAATATTCGTAGGTAAATATACCTACTAGGACTTGAACCTGAAACCTGCTCATAGAGAGTTGGGTGCCTAGATCACTAGGCCACAGTATCCCAATCTTTACTTACCTTTTTATTTAATTTTAAAAAAATTGATTAATTAATTTGTACTCGGTTAGTAATTACATAATGATGTTTGTAGAACATATCTAATACAATAAACAAAATTGAAGTTTTTTAAACTACTAGTGATGATTTCTTAGTAAATACTTAATCAATTTCGGTAAAATTTTTTTTTTATTTAGGGGTAGGGTATCTCATTGTGATGTTATACATATGATATAATAATGTAAATCGTTTTTAACTATAAGTTTTAAACATGTGACAAAGCTAAATTTTAGCCAATAGTATATATTCAAAAAAATTTTTTTGTCTTCGTTAGTTGCGAAGCATATATGTTAGTAGAAGGTATTCTTACATATTTTTAGTATTCTATATAATAAGTTTATATATGCTAAGTTCTATAAACTAGTTGCCTATTAGGTGTGTTCGTTGCCCATTACTGTTATTTGTTCAATACTGGGAGCTGTCTTTCTTTAAAATACATTGTGGGAAGTTAGATTTGCTTTCAATAAACACTTTTATAATTACCACATACTATGGTAAGTAATCATAAATAAAAGTTGTATATAAGCTGTTTTAAATGAAGTAGACATATACAATTTTTAATAGTATCTATTTTTAGATCATTGAGATTTCAAATCCAACATTGTCAGATCGAGATTCTGTAATCTAATTTTTTTTTTAATTTTATAGAACCGTTACAAATATCCTGACAACTTGTTATGTACAAATAATCACCGTCACAAATATTCACGACCCAAAAGATCTATATTTATATGTGAAGACCCTAGTTTGCTTACTTTGCTACCAGAGCATTAATTCTTACCTGATAGTTCAGATATATCATCACAACTTTATTTATTATTAAAAGTTGCAAATATTAATTCAGACAAAAATGGCAAAGTTTATGTTCCTTTAATTCCGGGATATAGTATATATACACATCTTGGTGAATATTATTTTTTTATATGTCTTGAATGGTGTGAGATTTGTAAAAATATTCTTTACCGATGGACAGATTTTGGCACAAATGATAGTTTTCAAGAACCAGTTGCATCAAACTGCTTACCTGATTCATTAACTAGTTTACGAAATTATATTAAAAATGACAAAACTATTAATTATAAGGGTGAAGTTTCTATAACATACTTAATGGGTCTAACATGTACAGAAAATGTTCAGTGGCTTCGAGGATTTATAAATAATAAATATCCTGATATTTTTTTAAATAAGTATATGGGGGTGAGTCAGTAGAAATGCACCATGTTGTTTTTAATAAAATTTTTAAGCAAAAATAAATCAGCAAAAACTTAACCAAATTTAGTAAAAATTTTTTTAAATAAATTTTACAAGTTTTTTGAATTGG